TTTTGCATTGTGTAAGATTTCGGTGAAGTAGGTTGAATGCGATAAAAAAGGCAAAAGACTGCAATTATAATACATCAATAACACAATGATATCCACCAATGATTGAACGCAATTTGTGAGATCATATCGTGTCACAAAGACCAAGTCATTAGATCTGCATTAAAAGAGAACAGAAACATCTATGTGAATCAGGAGGATAGACATCGCATAGATATTTTTCCAGATAATATAAAACCAATTTGATCAGATCTTGATAAACCGTATGAAAACAACACTGATCACATTGGGCCAGTATGGAATGCATTAGTTCGTACTTTGTTTTATTTCTGCGTTAAAAGAATCGGACCAGATATTACTCGATAGTTTTCACGTTTCGACATATTCTCCTGCTACTACATTGCAGGCACCATGGATCAATCACTTTTTGTTGAGTCATACCGCATGTAATACAAGCAGAATTTTACTCCTCAGGAGAATTTACCCTCTGCATTGGGTACCGCCCAGTAAATCACGAGATTTGCACACGCTTTGCTTTTATCTCCAGTTATTGCTAAACCTTTTTAATCAGATCTCGACAAATCAAATCAGCTTAGCGCCGTTCTCACCAGGGGATTGTGGAATAGATGAGTTCGCATTCAAATAGGTTTCTCTACATTATTATTAGTTCAACAAGATTAGAACAGGCACGACGCACCTTTAAACAGACTCATTTACTATTTCTTCATTAGCACCAGAGTTTGACTGCTTCTGATTGAATTGTATCACATGAAATCTAAGGCGAATTTGTAAGCTGGGGAAAATTTATTTAGTTGCATAATGGTTTCCTTCGGTTAATACCAAACCTATTTGATCAGATCCCGACAAATTAAATCAGAACAGCACCAATTACATCAGGTCAGTATGGAAGGGATGAATTCGTAGTCTGTTAAATTACTTTGCATTGCGATTGGTTCAACAAGATTATACGACACAGAACGCACTTTTCATCAAGTACTCTTGCCATTTCCTTATTGGCAGTAGAAATTGACTGTACTATGTCAAATTAAGGTGCCTAAACTCCAGCTGAACACACTGCATTGTGTACCTCAATCAGCGTCACGAAATCCCGTCATGCATTATCGAATTCACCAATAACTATCTAACCTATTTGAACACATCTTGACGTAACAAATCATGGAATAGAGGAGTTTGCATTTAATTAAGTTTCTCGGGATTAGGCCCAATTCGACGAGATTAGACTGAATGGGACGCACTTTCTAACAAATTCTCTTGCTGTTTTGTCATAAGCACTAGAGATTAAATAAATTTTGTCAAGTCACGCTACATGAATTTCAAACCCGATTTTGCCTCTACAGGAGAATTTGTCCATAGCACTGATCACCACAGTGTACATCACTAGATTATGTCTCCCATCGCCGTTTCCTCTAGTCAATAGTAAGCCCACTTGATCATGTTTCGACAAGCACAGAAGATTGACTGGATTTATTGAATTACGCCGCATGACCTCCAAACAGGATTTTATATCTGCAAAATTAGCCCTTAACAATGGACACTGCAAAGTGCATCAAAATATGCAGGCACGCATTGCAGTTTGCCACCGTTACTATCAAATTTATTTGATCAGTTAATCATCGACAACATCAGATTGTTATGGCATGCACTAGTTCGTATTTTGTTGAAATTACCTGTAATGGTATTTATTCAATGAAATTATGCTGGACAAAACGGAATTTTTTGTCGCAGGCACCAAAGACCGAGTGAATTTTGTTGACTTTACACTGCATGAAATCCTAACAGGATTTTACGTATGCAGAAGAAATTGCGCACATCATTAGCACGAGGTTCCGTCTCGTGTTGCCGTTTTGTTTCCATCAAGCATGTCTAATCAGATCTCGACTTATCAAATCATTTCAGCACTGTGCACATTAGATCAGAATGGAGAGGGGTACGAATTTTGTTGAGATTGTCTACAATTTGGTTGCTTCATTGGGATTATTCTGTGGAGAACGCGCTATTTACCGAATGCTTCTGCTAGTTCGTCGTAAACACAAAAAGATCAATTGCATTTTCTTGAATAATGCTGAATAGACCTGAGGAGAAACATCGATTTGCTCACAACTTTCCCCAACGCCATACACTCATGAATTGTGGTCCCGAGTTTTGCTTTAGCATTAGACAGTTTTGAAAACAACATTTGATCCATTTACTGCGTGCATTTATTTCGTCACTTGCTACCTTAGTGCTGAATATAGACAGCTGTAATAGGGCCGACATCTGCGCCTTATCCGCCCCCTAAGTAAATGTCACGTATGCAGACACTAGATGATTTGACTCAGTTCAGGAATTATGCGGACATGTCATCACCACCATCAGCTAAATTTAGCAATCTCCTTCCTGTGCCACATTCTAAAGCCAAAACGTGTTCAATTCCGTGCATATGTTTATTTGGTCCCTTGTTGGTTTGTTTGCAAAATAAACGTGATTTGACTAACCCTAATCCTATTTACATCACAAAAATATTTTGAATGACACATTTGAATTTGGCATGGTGGCAGTATTTCAGCCTTTATTTGACCTAGCTTTTGCAAGCAAATCCTAAACAGCCTCCAAAGCTGGCTTATAAGGTTTATTGTGAGGATGCCTTTGTTCCTAGGAAGTTGTGCTACTTGGTTGGCATTCTAATGCTCGGCTACCTCAGAATTGGCCTCTAAATTCATTGTACCTATTACTATACACCGAAAACCCTACCACACTTTTATGACATGGCCTGGTCTGGAGTGTTTTGACTTTTGCCTACATCGGAGTCAA